ACACACTGTCTCTGTCTCTGTCTCTCTCTCTCTCTCTCTCTCTCACACACTGCTTCTGTCTCTCTCTCTGTCTCTGTCTCTCTCTCACACACTGTCTCTGTCTCTCTCTCTCTCTCTCTCTCTCACCAGTCGGGCAGGGCTCCGTGAGGGGTGAGGGTGAAGGGGTCTGAGCGCCCGTCCTGCTGGCCAGAATCTGGAGGAGGAGATGATGACAGCTTCCCTGTTGCATTGAAAAAAATAATAATTTAATGAGAGCTTATAGATACTTCACATTATTATTCAAATTGAGAATAATTTCTTTATCTAAATATATCAAATACAAAGCTTTAACAATTTCATTGGGCACAAATAAGTGTAAAACACATACAGCAATTGCAGCACAATTCAGGCTTCTGTATGACTGAGAATGACAGAATATAGAGCCCAGAAATAAGTATAATGATTTCATATTAACTATTCAGCTACTCACTTTCTCTCCAGTCAAGCTCAGGCTCTGCAGGAGTAAAAACATACAAAGTTAAATTAGAAGAAATGACCCTAATATAGCTTTTTATGGGCAAATATTAGATGTTTAGAATGTTTGAATCCTTCATTTTTTATTTATTTACACAAAATAGTGTAGAACTGTATATATTAAAAAGTTTTGGTTATCCCTTATTTTAAGGTGTATTTGTTACAGTGTAATTATACAATTAAGTATTCAATCATATTAATTAACATTTGCAATTAACATTCACTAACTACACAATTAGGTTTGTTAGCTGCTTGTAATTCTGCTTAAACTGTTATCACTATAATAAGTACATGTACTGAATAACAAGGAAACTGTAAAATTATATAAAATACTTCTATTTTAAATAAATACAGTTTTTTTAGCTCGCTGTTCATCAAAGAATCCTGAATAAAAATTAAATAAAAATGTATCACAGTTTCCACAAAAATATTAAGCCACACTTAACTTATTTAGCAACTGTCTTCAAAACTGATAATAATAAGAAATGTTTCTGAAGGATCATATGACACGGAGTAATGATGTTGAAAATTCAGCTTTGCATCACAGGGAATAAATTACATTTTAAAATGCATTCAAATAGAAAACCATTTTTTGAAATTGTAATAATAATTTCACAATATTACTGTTTTTACTGTATTCAATAAATTCAGCCTTGGTGAGCAGAAGAGACTTATCAACCCCAAACATTTGAAGAGTAGTGTAGATTATATCATATAGAATTTCAACATCATCTATGTATCAGTTATTGGCCATAACAAGCAAATAAATAAAAAGCAACGTGCCATAATTGTATTATTAATACATCCCTATAATTAATTAACAACAAAATTATATAAAAATGTACATAAAACTAAAAATATACATTTAACTGTACTGAAGTTCAGATGTTTGGCTGCATCTTTATAGTCATTATCTAAAATCACACCAATATCTAGGAGTTGATGTGGTTTAGTCGTTAATCATATGAGCTTTAAGCAATAGGTTGCTGGTTAACACAGAGCAATCATGAACTATATCACCATTATAATCTCAACAAATCACAGGTTGCTCGTGGGAGAATGACTAATTGAATAATTGTACTGTAAGTCTCTTTGGATAAAAGTGTCATTTAAATGAACCACTTACTATACTATTTAAAGACCAGATACGGTACCGGACGTCCTGGGCAACGTGGCAGAACCTCCAGTCCGTATCCCACCATTGGATAATCCAACTGAAAGACAGAGAGATGACAATTTAACACGCATCAAATTGCATGAAATATTAATGTAACATATGAACATATAATATTTGCCAATTCTAATTTCAAATGTTCCAATTTCCTCCAATTCAAGCACAGAAACCTATAGTTACTTATAATCACAGATAAGATACACATAGGAATTCTTATGATAATTTAGTCAAGTAATATCAAAACGTATCAAAAGTTGTGTTACCATTTGTCTGAGTCGGCCCATAGTAGGATCCGAAACTCTGTGTTGTGAATCCACCTCCATTGACCTCTGTGACCTGATGGAAACATTATTGCACAGTCATATGACAATCATATTCTAATAGTGAATTAAAGAGTATAAGGTAAATAGGAAACGTTAGTTATACTGTATATAACACATATATAACATCAGTTATACTAAAAAAAAACAAAAGTGTCCCAAAAACATGCCAATTGGAGTGATATTTGTTATCTAATGCAAATGCATTCAAAGTAGTTTAATTGTTGAAATACTTAGCTTGGGGACACTATATATATAATAATTAATAATAATTAAAAACTGAAATGAAAATAAAGCACATTTCAACTGTAAACAGGATTAGCATACTATAATTCTAAAAGTCCTTTTTTAAAATATCGCCACAAGGGGGCAGAACAATATAAGTTAAGCGTTTGCACACATTCAGTCCAAGTCAGCATGTAATAATGTCAAAGCAGTGTTATTCATTCATACTTTTTATTGTTATTATAAATGAATAACAAATATAAATAACAAAAAAATACACTTTTATTTTTATTTCAGTTTTAGTTATATTTTACTACTTCAGCTTATTTTATTTCAGTTAGTTGCCAAAGCAACATTTCTATTTTTTAAGTTTAAGTTTTTCATCTAAAATTACTATTTTATTTCTGCTTTATTTCAATAAAAACACTGTGTCAGTGCTACTCAATCAAAGCCTAATGTGGAAAAGTTTCGTGTTGAGTTGAACTGAACTGAACTAAATTTTTACATACGAAAGTATGAGTAGTAGCATGTCCCTTTTAATGTTTCAATGTTCACTTACTATACTATTTAAAGACCAGATACCATGGAAGATTATCACATGACAGCCAGCTATTAACTACTTTCTTTCTATAAGCTCAGCAAGGCTGAGTTAAACCAGGTGTCTATGAAAACACACTGAGCAAATTGTGTAACGCAGCTTTATGTTGTTCATAATTACTCAACTACATCAGCTGCTGTTCCAGTTATTAAACTGCAAACTTCTGTACATTAATCAAGCGCAGGACTCTGGCCAAATATCCTAGAGGGCACTGTATACCTTACAGCAGCACCCCTCCACACGTCTGCTGCTGTTTCATTGTTTACAATAATAGTTTGTGCTCTTTACATTTTTATGACTTTGAAATCTTCTAACTCAGAAGCTTCACTGGTGAAGGAAAGGCACAGTGCGGTATCCTGAATCCCATCATGCTCAGCAAAGCCTATCTGGTTCCACTTTCAAAGGGTCAATTGTGCACTTTCTCATTGAGCTCCACATGTGCTGAAAGGTTAAACAATGTTCAAGAAATGAGGTCTTACATTTCTAAGCCAGAGTTTGGCTTTATTCTTTCTGGATCAGTGCAGAATGTGACAGACAATAATGGAGAGGAATTTCCTCATTGTTTCAGAGAGAGAGGTAGGAGGAGAGCACATACCCTCTGGTTTCTTGTGGATTTGTCTAAACATGCTCCTATACCAGTCCTTGGGCTTGTTTACGCTCTGGAAAAAGGGTTGGGAAAAAGAAAAATGCATTGTTCAAAATAAAAACAAAACATGCTGGCATAAACGGTGTACTAAATATTTGTAATCAATATTTTTGTCTTGTTTACAAGTAAAATATCTCAACAGAATAAAAAAAGGCTTAACAAATAATTTAATAAAATTTTAAAAATATATCTTGGTTTTTTAATATTATTATATCTTGAGCATATCTTGAAGCTTTTCATATCACACTGGCAAACGCTTTTTCTTGTTTTTAGCATAAATAACATGTTTAAATGTGTTAACATGTTTCAAACAAGACATTACGGCTGTGCTCTTGCCTTGTGCTGTGAAGGCGCAGGGGCTGAACTGACGTGGAACGGACTCGAGGGAGGTGTAGGAAGACCAGGAGAGATTACGACTACTTCCTGGGTCATATCCGGAGCCATGAAGTGCTGTCTTGATCCACTGCCGGGAAGAGCCTCATCCGAGAAAATGATCCGCGAGCCATTGAGATGGTCATGCACCGCCACTCTTTTTTATATTTTAATTATTATTTACGTTTAAATTTAGTGACCTAGAAAGCTGCAGAATCTGATTTTTTTTCTTAAATATTGTCTTATCAGTTTACTGTATGTCCAGGTTTAGATTAAATTTTGAATCCTAGATTTTCAGTGTGGTTTAAGACTTTTGGACCCCAGTGCATATGTGGAATAACGTCTGCAGTAGTAATGTGTTACGGCTGTGCTCTTGCCTTGTGCTGTGAAGGCGCAGGGGCTGAACTGACGTGGAACGGACTCGAGGGAGGTGTAGGAAGACCAGGAGAGATTACGACTACTTCCTGGGTCATATCCGGAGCCATGAAGTGCTGTCTGGATCCACTGCCGGGAAGAGCCTCGTCCGAGAAAATGATCCGCGAGCCATTGAGATGGTCATGCACCTCCACTCTTCTCTGAGAGAAAAACAGAAGTTTTATTTCATTACCTAGAATCACTGTTTCCATCCATCTATCCATCCATTTTCCATACTGCTTTATACACCACAGTGTCGCGGGGGGCTGGAAACTATCCCAGTGTTTCGGGACACAGCCAGGTGGGAGACACCCTAAACAACAGGGCTCACACACAGACACACACACATGCATGCACTCACACCTACTGTGGGGGCAGGGACGTGCACAGACATTTTGAGGGGCAGGGGCTCAAGTGGAAAAAAGGGCACTTCTCATATTTATTTTTTAAAAAATTCTAAACAAAACGTTAAATATATTAGGGGTGTGCAATATTGTATTTTCTGGGATTTTATCGAAAACAATAATTAGATGATATTTTGCTGAGTGTGTTATTGTGCTGATATCTTAAGGACTACCGTGGACAGCTGACTCCTAAAGTTTTTGATATTCTGCATATTCTGTGTGGTGATTAGTTCACAGCAGTGATAGAAATTAATCTTTTCCAATAAGTTTAAATTGATTTTTACCTTTTATGAGCATTTTTACCTTTAAGCCTTTTTTTTCTAAAAGTGTGCATCATCTTATTGACAAAATTAATCTTTGCAATGCAGAGGAAATACAGAAGCTGCATTAGAAGGGGCATTTAGATGCATTTACACACTGTTTAATGCAGCACATGAATGCAATTAACCTGCAGTTACAAATGCATTCATACTGTTTTGATATTTTGAACATAAAATATTAAATACTGATATTTGAAATTATTGAAACACACACACACGCACACATATATTTAATAAAAAAAAAAATTTTTAAATCCCCAGGGCACTTGGGCACTTTCTCTCGAGGAAGAAAAAGGGCAGGTGCTCAAGCCCCCTTTGATGTCTATGTGTGCACGTGCCTGGTGGGTAGCACTGTCACCTAACAGCAAGAAGGTCTGTTTGGAGTCCCGGCTGAGCCAGTGGAGTTTGCATGTTCTCCTCATGTCTGTGTGGCTTTCCCCCATAATCCAAAGACATTCGGCATAGGTGACTTGGACACTATAAATTGCCCCTACACAGGCATGTGCACACAGACATAAAAGGGGGCTTGAGCACCTGCCCTTTTTCTTCCTCGGGAG